AAGATTATGCGGTTTCTCCACTTTACGGACAACGACGCGCCGGCTGCAGGGTTGGAAGGTGCGATCAATTATGAACACGTTGGAGAGGACGTTTCTGAGTGGATTTATTACGCCCCCATGGTTGTCATTCGACGAAGCAATGCTGCCTTCGCAGAGAAAATTCAACCGGACGCGTCAGTTCATGAAAGATAAGCCCCACCGATGGGGGATGAAACTTTTAATGACGTGCTGTGCGAGGACATCTTATTGCCTCAGGTACGTCTGTTTCCGATAGCGTCTGCTTCCATGCAGACGTGTTTTTTTTTGGATGGCAAAGTCTCACATGCTTGATGTTATGCTTGTATTGAACTGACCCAGACGGGGTTTTCTATGCGGTGGCAACCGATCGGTTCTACACATCGATACAAAGTTCGCTACAACTCTTTCAGAGGAACGTCTATGCTGTGGGCACCATTCAAACTAACAAGAAAGGGTTTCCGCCATCGCTGAAGCAGGACAAGAAAAAGCGTCCGAAAAACATCGCTCGGGGCACAACCCAGATTGTTGTGTCAAAGTCAGTTCCGAAGCTCTCCGCTCTTGTTTGGTTCGACAATACCATCCTGCACATGCTGGCGTGTGGAAGTAGTTATGCAATGGACTCTTGTGGTAAGTTATTCAGTTTATTTTTACTGCTACTATTTTCTAACCATGTAGTTTATTTCAATGTAACAGAGCGGAGCCTTCCATGTACATTAGGACAGAAGGAGACGGTGCCTTGCCCCGCCGCCATGACGACGTACCATCGGTGTATGGGCGGGGTCGATGTCCTCGACCAACTTCGTCTCCAGCGCTACTCGCTGCAACTCTCTCTATGTTTTCGGAAGTATTACAAGAGTTTGGCCATGGGCCTTTTTGACATGGCTATCGTCAGCTGCTATATTGTGCACCGCGAGGCCTGCAAATTGAGAGGTGATCCTCCGCTGATCACGCCGGTTTCATCGCTCAGTTGCAAGCCCAGCTACTACATATGGGGTCAGCCGAATTTGCAAACACGGTAAGTAAGGTGCTTATTCTGCTTGTTGTTCTCATTGCTAACTATTACTGTATGTGTCCAAAGATGTACTCACCTAGACCAGTTACACCACGGCATGGCGACGCTCCACCGTCCACCCACCAGCTAAAGATGGACGACGAATGGGCGGAGGTAAATGGAATTCGAAAGCGACGTCAACGGCATTGCAAGGTCTGTACTATACGGAAAACTAGCAGTACACAGCGGCAGGTGACGCGATTCTACTGTCCTGGCTGCAGTAAAGGCTCGAACCGGTACGTTGCTATGCTCTGTGTTTCTTACTACTGCTATCTAACACGTATAATGCAGTGTATACTTGTGTGACAAGGTGCGCCAAGCACATTACCCCAATAGCAACCAGACTTGCTTCTCCATTTGGCACCAACTTTGGCGCAATGGAAGCGAGCGCCCACAGCCGCGCCACGGCCGCGGTATCCAGCTGAGGGCCCCACCAAAAAAGCGGGCGGAAGGACAAGAGGGTCGTGAAGAGGAGGGGGGCGGTGGGGACGAGGAGGAGGCCGCAGGCCTCGGCAATGAGGGAAGTGATGGTGGTGAACATTCTGATTGTGATCAGAACGAGACAACGGAATTTGGTAGTGACGACAGAGAGCAGCAGGAGTAGGAAACAGTGAAGCTGCGTAAGTAATAGCCCAACTGACTTGCTTTTAGCTGACAGATGCAATACACAAATTTGCCTTCGTAGCCGTTCTGTGACTCCGTCAAAAACGATTCATTCCCAATAATAGAGCCATTTGCACATGCATGATGTCGCGTATGGGCTTTACGGAATTTACTCACCATGCTCGATATAAACATGTGGGCTCACAATACGTACGATTGCAGGATCTTGTACAAATATACAGACACCGATCTTTTTTTTCCTATACAAATTTTACGTTAAGACTTTTTTAACATGCTTGATATTAAGCATGTGAAAAATAGTCTGTGCATTCAAGATTTGCTCTCGTAACGGAGGGGTTAAAATAGTGCATCAGCTACACTGACACCACGTCCGACCTTTGCTAGTATTCGGGTTTTCGCTGCATTGACGTATGCATTTCGTCGTCCACGAGGACACAGCTGCCCCGCCTCAATGCTCGCTACTTCATTGGAATCTTCCTTCTGTTAGTTCCGTTCGCGGTCAAGTTGCCCACTGCCGGCGAGACTTTCTTCCTACTAAACAATAATCGTACTATCCGTCAGAATAACGACAGCGACGAAACGAGGCTCCAGCCAATCGTCCAGGGAAGAATCCTGGCGCCACGCTAAGATGTTCAGTCACCGGTCACATCCTCTGGCCGAATGTTTTGGATATCAAGCTCGCGTAAGAGTGGATTTTTGCGTCGAAATATGGTGCCAATCGCTCTCAAATGATCAGTGATATCGGCATCGGATAAGCACTTTGTAAGGACTGAGTAAGGTTGCCTGGCGGACGGGGGGACAATAGTGCAATTGCCGCAGTCCAGCTACAGCTATCCCCAACCCTAGTTTAGCGTGGGATTGTTGAAGTTTGACACCCACGTACCTTATTTTGAAATCCGCCTAAAATAGCCCAATGTGGGGCCTGCTTCCCCCAGGCCCAGTGCATAAAAACGAACCAAGGGAAGCAGGTATGCAGCAACTTACAATCGACGGCACATTCGCTAAGAAGCGACCAAAGCAAGGGGGAAGCTTTCAAGAGGTTCATGACAGATGGTTCGCGCTCCGTTATGCTTCTACTAATGCACAGACCGGTCTAGTGGAGACCGTCCCCTGCCAATTCTGCAAAGCTTTCGGACAGAGCAATTTCCACCATGAAATACTTCACAACGTTTCGCCCCGAGCAGTATCGAGGACACCATATCCGCCAGCGTCCGAATTGTTGGGCACAGTACAGCTCGGCAAATGAAGCGGAGGAGTCTAACTTTTTTTGACGGCGTAGCCGTGCCACATGCAACGACGCTTAAGGCGGTCATTGAGCGTGAACAGTCCATTCCATCCTCTATCCGAGCATGCATTATCGACACAATTATTGGCATTTCTCTTTTTATAAACGCATGCTTGCGCTCTCGCTAGGTTCCAATTATAAAGTTATCGGTATCAAAAAGAAGAGAAACATTCTTCTCGCTTTCGACTGAGCGTCAAGTTTATGACTCACGTTTTCCACTCTTAATTCACTTCAGTGGTAGGTGGGCTTATCTGTTTTCAAACACAGCCACAATCGAGTCCAATTGCTTGGTACTAAGCTGTGAGAAGACCGATTAGAGAACGTCCCTGACCGATCTCTACCTGGAAGGAATTATGCAGTGCAAGCAATGGTAACGCCTGGGTCAACTTACCACCGAGAGTTGTTAGACTTGAATTCATTAAAGGTTCCACATTTACCACTTTAAGTAGCATGATTATCCCACACCAAAACAAAATTCAGACCTGTCAGAAACGTGGGAAATCACTTATTAAACAGGGTCTGGCTGTCTCTACATCAACGGCTGCATTCTACATGATGACAGGTTGATTATGCACGGGTGCTATATCACCCTGAATCAGAAGCAGCGGATCCAGATGAAAGCGGACGGAAGGTGGTGGCACATTTTGAAGTTTTAGGCTATCTCGTCAAACAGCCTTATCCGTAGATAGCGGTCGACATCCTACATAGATTTCAAAACGGTTTAGTATGTTAAAAAGGATAATTTACCGTTTTCACTTGACGCAATACCTCGTTCCTGAGCTTTCCCGCCATTGCCATTTTGAAAGAATAGAAAGCAATAAACGTCCTTTTATTGAATTATCTCTTTTTTTCAATACCCGTAATATCGGTGTCAAGTGTCACCCCCCCCCCTCGGACCGACAAATTTTAATGATCAGGATAAGCTCAAGGTGCTGGTTATGGATGAGTCAAGAATTGTGTTGTTGTACTACAACAACACAATTCTCCTACAGCTTGTAGCTAGCTATAATCTCTGTGAATGTATCGATCTACGATGTCGTCGTCCCAGGAAACATCTTCTACACAGTCATCTAGCCACGATAAAGCCTTAAAAGCGGTAGCCAGCTCTTTTATGCTCTAATTCGGTCTTTAATGGGCTTATTCCATGCTATGTCGGCTGGTTGACAGCAGTGCGTATATCCAAGGGGAATGCGTTGCAGAGGCGTCCAATGCGCCCTGAAGTCGTCCCACATCAGCATCACAGGCTCATTAGCTGAGCTACGTTCACCAAAAAATGCTGCAAAAAATTCAGGTCACAAGGATCGAATCACGACGCGCATGGTGCGCGTTTGACACAGGTGAAGTGCGGCAGCTTTGAATGCAAAGGTCTCCGACATAAACTGCTTCTGCTACCGCCTGCCTCGTTGCTACGGCACCCGCATTTTGGTCCTTGGTCTTTTCGCTGCTCTGCGGTAGCTCCGGTTCTGCAGCACTGGCTTCAAGGAACAGGGGGTGGGGTAACACCTGACAAAACACTGCAAATTCTACTTGGCCAAGGTCCATTTCACGGCTGTGATTTGTCAATATAGGGGGGTGACACTTGACATAAGCGGACGATACTACGGTATGTATAATTCGGTAACGATCCGAATCGGATCAACAATTCCCTATTTAATAGGAAATTGTTTGGGACTGTTTTTATCCAGAACTTAATTATGATTGGCTTAAACTTTTGAATCGAGCTTTTGCTAAGATATACTTTAGCTTTGTGTCTGTCAAATCAATCCGTCCAAAAATATATCTAGTTTCCATTTTCAAATTAAATTTATGTACCACTCATGTAAATACCTGCCAATCAGTTATTCGTTGACAATGCTGCTCCGCACGTGGAAGAGTGCGGCTGCTTCAGCTCAGCGACGTCGCCAGCGAGCGCTTTTCGGCGCTTCTAGCAGGCTGTCGTCTCTAAGACGCCGGTCTACTCTTTCTACTGTCCTCGATGTTTCTGCAGTCTCTGACTACAGCAAGAAGCACGTAGTCGTGGGAATGTCTGGCGGGGTGGACTCGTCGGTGGCTGCACTGCTACTCAAGCGCCAAGGTTATCACGTCACCGGTGTATACATGAAGAACTGGGACCCCAGTGATGAGGAAGGCGAGTCAGCGTGTCCTGTCGACTCGGAGTACGTAGACGTGCAGAAGGTCTGCGAGCAGCTCGGTATCGAGGCGCAAATGGTTCGTGAAGGTGGTTGACATGGACGTGGGCGAATAAGTAACTGGCAGGTGACTGGTATTATATTCTGGTGGCTGCAGGTGAACTTGGTGCAGTCGTACTGGAACCAGGTATTCGCTCCGTGTCTGGCGGGGTATGAAGAGGGTCTGACACCGAACCCCGACATTTTGTGCAATCGGGAGATCAAGTTTAAGGCTTTCACGGAGTTTGCGAAGCAAATTGGGGCGGATTGTGTGGCAACAGGACATTACGCTGCACTGCGACCCGCAGAGAAGGGCGGACCTCCGAACCTTTGTGCAGCGGAGGACGAGTCGAAAGACCAGAGCTATTTTCTGTCGAGTGTGGATGGAAAAGCGTTCGCGAACGTGCTCTTCCCCCTGGGAGGGATGCGGAAGACGGAAGTGCGGCAGATTGCAGAGAGTGAAGGTCTTTGCACAGCGACGAAGAAGGATTCAGTCGGCATCTGCTTCATTGGCAAGCGCAACTTTGCGGATTTCATTCACCAATACATTCAACGACAAGATGGGTACTTCTACACTGTGGGTGGGGAGAAGATGCACCCGCACCACGGGTTTACGGCTTATACTGTGGGGCAAGGAGCACGGCTTCAAGGTATGAGCGCCAAGTGGTTTGTGGTTGGCAAGCACAAGTTCGACCACTCTGTCATAGTCGCTGAGGGTACGCGTAACCCGGCACTCTTCTCGGACGCGCTCTTTGCCTCAGCGGAGCAGTTTAATTGGATGGCAGGAGATTTGCCTCCAGAGCTCCGTGACACGGGCCGGATGCGCTGCTTTTACAGAGTTCGTTATCGTCAGGACTTGGACAAATGCACAATTTCGCTCGTGTCGAACCGCGAGGCTCGTGCGAGTGCCAGCAAACTTCACGACTGGCAACCAGAGCTGGTAGCAAATGAAGAAGGTGTAGAAAATGGGGAGAAAATCTACTTGCGGGTAGACTTTGACCATCCACAGCGAGGTGTTACGCCAGAACAAGCCCTGGTGTTGTACCGTAGTGACGGACTTTGCTATGGCGGCGGACCCATAGCTGCTGCAGGCCAGACGTACTACGAGCAGGGTAAGGCTCTTGCAGACGATGTTCATGACTGGCATAGACAAGGAAGAGAGATACTAGTACTAAATGAGTGAAGCGGGGGATAACACCGAGTATTCAAATGGGAAGTTTAGAAACGTATTTTTAATTAGAAAAAGGGCACTCGTTGCTGCGAAAGTGCAACCAACTTGAAGAATTCCTCGTTGTCACTTTCAAAAATAATTGCCACCCTTTTTTGGAGTCTGTACTATGTAAATAGTACTTCTGTACTACAGCTCGAGTAGTAGTAGTAGTATGACTCAGGAGTCATAATTCCGAAACAACCTGTTCGTTGATGTATTAATAGTAGCGTTTAATCAAGCACCCTTTGATACTACAGTATGTTCTCAGCATCTTTTTTTTTTTTAAGCCAAGTTGCACAAAATAACAGCACCTTACCGTTCCTAAGTTAAGGTGATTGGTTTGCGAGCCAATAAAACGGATGTACTACGGTTGTTGTTGGTTCTCTTATTTGGACAATCCCATTTTAAGTGCAAATTAACCTCGATAAGGTAAATTTGTTAAGCTGGAGCCTGGTACTGTTAAATCTGCATCGCTGAAACTTGACCTCCATCTCACTTACATCATGGACGTGCGGGGTTACATGGAAGCCCTTTGTTGCAACTATCCGAACAGCATTGATAGAAGTCCGGTTGCTTACGACAGCACTCGCTGACCTTGATATTGTGATCAGAATACGTGTTTGGTGCGCATCCTGGCGCCGTGCAGAACGGTTGCGCACTACTTGACGTGGCGAACACCGCGGCAACAGCAAAAAGAGCGTAGGTCTTGAAGTTCATCTTCATCAGTTTTGTAAGATATCGACGTGGGCTTGACTTGAGAAATAGAAGAATGAACGCAAGATTTTCCGAGTCGTCAAAGGTCAGCCAAGGGTTAATATAACCCCTTCGTTTAGGTATGAAAACGCGCCTTAAGAAAAACGTAAACATAAATTGCAGTACGACGTACGTAGCCGCATTTGTAGGTGACAGATGTTTGCCTGACAAATGGGCGAATCAGTTGTCGAGAGTTTTTATCGTTCACCACTGGAAGTTACATGGAGTACATGTAACTCCTGCGCCGACAAGAAGGCATCAAAGCGGGGGAGGATTGGTATGACTACATGTATGGCAATCATATGACATCAATACTTCAAGGATGCAGAAGAGTACAAGTACGATGAGGAATGTGAAAAAATGGACACAAATATAATATGTTAAAACGAGTTGAATGAAGACTGACTCGAGGCCATAAAGACCCTGAGCACATCGAATACGGTGCGCTAATACTACGTCGCGAAGGCCACAGACGAAACACAAAAATCAGTATCACTTGGGGCAGAGACGGAAATCTTTAGTTCTCTGCTCGCTAATAATACCAGAGTACATGTATTAGATTTGTGGACGGTGGCACGGTTTTAAATAGTAGTTTGGTGAAGGATCATTCTACTATCACACCGTATGATTACTTTGTCTACAAAGTACCGGTATGATGTTCGCTTACAGTAAATTGTTTGTTAGTGAACAACATTTCCAGAGTTATTGCTGCGTTGGCACTTACAAACATCACGACGATGGCGGATGCCATTCTTCTTTCGGCCTCACGGGTAGCTAAATTCTTTGCATAGAAATCGCGCAATGCAAACAACCGGATCGGTCGCTCAAGTTTTTGTCTTGTGTCTGGCGGTCGGTCTTGTGCCCTTCTTGGATTCGTACCAGCGAACGTTCTTATCCATCAGCTCGCTCTCGAACAAAACGATATTGTCTCTAATGGTTTAAAAATGCAAACATCGATACTAGCTCGCATACGCTCATGCCGGGAGGGACTCCATGTACTAAAATCAATATCTACTGTAGAAGTGAACATATCATTGTTAATTGCGGTAAAAAAAACCGATACGAATTTCATGTGATGACAAATTTTATGAAAATGATCTGCTGCCGTTGCCACTTTTCAGCTTCAATGCAGCGACTATTACATGTACACTGAAATACATCCGTACGGGGTAGCAGACAAAGTGTATTTCAGTACAGCTGCTACCAGAGGAAACAGCGTGGTGCAATTTAGCTACGTTGAGATACATGTTTACGATTTTCAATAACGCTAGTTCGATACACCATGACAAGGCTACGTCGTAATACACGTTTACGTTTTTCAATATCGCGTGTTCGATACGCCGTGACAAGGCTACGTCGTAATACATATTTAAGACTTTCAACAACGCGTTTTCAATACTCTTTCCACGGGAACCGTTGACGACTCGGAAGATCTTGCGTTCATTCTTCTATATCGCAAGTCAAGCTTACGTCGGTTTCTGGTGAAGATGAATCTCAAGACCCATTTTTTTGTTTCTGTTGCCGCCGTGTTCGCCGCGTCAAGTAGTGCACAACCGTTCTGCACGGCGCCAGGATGCGCACCGAACAATTATTCTGATATCGCGATCAGCGAGTGCTGCCGTAGGGAACCGGGCAGTAAAAGATTAAAACAATGAAGCTCAAAAGCCAATAATATTATCGTAGAGATCCATAACTTTCCAAACTGGTGAAGTCCAAAGTTGGAAGCTTCGTGAGTAGTCCAGACAAAAGTAAATCCAGGAAGGACAGTTCGAAGAGCTCTATATACAGCCTCACTCAGATTATAAGTGGAAACGACAAACGCATTGCAAAGCACAATTCATGATACGCGGGGCGGTATAAAATCCAAAACAGGCAAAAACAAAACAATAAAACCGGCTTTTAAACCGGGTTTCAATTATTAAAACCACATTTGAAGCCCGATGATGGCTGAGTTGCGTTAAGGATAAGAAACAGATCACCGCACAATCTTTGCATTTCGACTGGAACGTACAAACATATTTGGCAACCGGCCGCGAGGTGTCGACCTTAAAGCCCCAGGTCGAGCAGCCCTGCATCCTGCTCGCTATACACGCTCCCTCTTAGTACAGCGAGCATGCCGATAGAAAATCACGTGCGTGGCGTCGTCCACCGTCTCCTCGCTGCTGTTCAATGAGTTTAAGTCGGAGTCTCTGGAGACGATGATGAAAAAACAAAAGCCGAATGCAGCCAGTATGATGATCGTAGCGGTAAGGAGCAAAAATTCTTCATGCCAAGAGGAAGGCACAAGAAACGACGGACACGCAACAGCTTGAACCCATTTAAAGAAAACAAAATGATACTGAAGTACATGGTAACCGCTCCGGTTTACGTAAAACTGCTGCTGTTGTCGAAAAATGTGATGCTAATACTACTAGAAGGAGAAGCTGAGATGTCTTCATCACCGCGAGTTTTGCTGTAATGTGCGTGCTAATACGCATACTGAAACAGTCCACCCAAGCACATATCAAAAGTCAGTTGCAAGAGTTCAAGGCTTCACCCTGCTGTACGTACCGTGGCGTAGTGCTCGGACACACTCTTCTATTGCCGCCGTGTTCTTGGAAGCTTGCGCACCCTTCTTGTATACTACTACTAACGCGTCGTTGCCCTCTACAACGCTCACTTGTATGCACGAGTTGCGTCCGCTCTGAATTGTCATGGAGCTCACACCGTCACCGGAAAACGACACTGCAGAATATCAAGGAAGTAGCCACATAAGTTGCAATAACCGACAGAGTCTCTGGAGAGCGCTAACGTACTCATATCAATCGAGCTATTTACTAGCGCCTGCAAGTTCGCCAGCACTCCGATCGGGTCCACGTCTCCAGTTGCACATGTCACTGCGCCGTCTAACACTAACATCGCCTTCAATATTCCGCGCTGCTTTTGTACTGTTCGAACACCACGACGAATTTCCCATAAGCACTTCGCTCGAGACTAAACCACCCTGGTGCACCCACATTTTCTGACAATCGGCTTGACTGACTCGCGTATAACACTGAGAATCCTGTACTGAAATCGGTGGAAGTCCCGCAAATTGTGTCCCATGTTGCCCAGTTCGTCTCCATGCTGCGCAATGAATGCTGCCAACAGTTCCTGCGCTACGAACGCCGAAAAACCGGCACCGTCGGCTGTATCATGGAACATGGCGCAGAAAACCTTGTGCTTGTCATTAGTGACCACCGTCACGGCCACTAGCAGAAGCGAAAGACAGCGCACACTGTCAATAATTGACGTATCCTTTTCATCTCCACACGCATGTAGAGTCGCTTTCAGAGCGAATGAACGCACCGAAAGACATCTGAATATACGACACAGGCGCGCCACTTGCTTTGTTGGAGAACTCGAGCATCGCTGTGATCAACGAGCCTACCAATCGAGGCTAGAGCGCAGCATATACCCCAACCAACACAAACATGGCCACACATTTTCAGTTAAAACGTGGCTTCTACAGCGAATCAGAGCGTAAATGTTGCGCGATTAGAAAGCCAAGAGTTTGGTGAGGAATGGTACCTGGGCAACGGCGTTTGCATATTCTTTGGAGAAGAGTACGATGCCGCTGGACGCCATGATGAGCACATTGCGCAGCATGGTTCCCACTGGTTTGTCTTTGGCCCAGGGGGAGTCAGGAGACGCGGTAACGATTTGACTTGATTTCAATAAGGCAACAAAAATTTCATTCCTTAAGAATCAGATCCTCAGAGTCAGATGTTATCCAATAATTGTGGGCCAACATGCCGCCGCGAATGGAGCAGGGAATCTCAGTCGACGCCGCCACCCCGACAGTAATCGAGCGATACCTGACAGCTGAACAGATCCAGAAGTTTGTGGAGAATGGGGTTCTAGTAGTGCCCAATGTCCTGACGCCGGAGGAGGTGGCGGAGGCGCGTCGAGGACTGCACCGTGAGCTTGCGAAGTACGGAGTGGTGCGTTGCAGGAGTCAATTGCTGTTCATGACAGCATCAAGTTCTGATGCTGTTGCAATTGCATCGTGCTGCGCATTATTTGTTTGTAGGACTATGAGAACTTGGAGGAGACTGGTGACAATCTCAAGAAGCTCTCGAGTACTGGTGGTGCAGGGGGCATCCTGGATCTCTTCTATCCGTCGTGGAGATTAAAAGTAGCTGAGCACGAAAAGGTATTTGCAGCAATGACGGACTTATGGGAGGCCACGTACGCACATAATCACCCAGATTTCCAGCACCCTTTCGGAGACTTCGACGGCAAACATGGATACATGTATATCAACCGCGTTTGTTATCGCGTGCCAGATGCAATCTCTAGAAAGTTTGGGAAAAAGAAGTCACGTCCAATGCAACGTTCACTAACGCCACATTGGGACTGTTGTCCGACCAAAATGTTCGATTCGGGCAAGGACACTCCGCGATGGCGTCCTATCCAATGCATCACGGTGCTCACTAGCAACACGGAGCCCAACACGGGCGGATTTGAATGTGTCCCTGGTTTCCACAAGGAGTTTACTGACTACGCAGCCAAGAATCAGCCGGAAACTATCACAGAAACGCCCATGACAGCTCCTCTCCGCCGTCCGCAGGTCTGTCTCGGCGACTTCTCTCCTCTACGCATGCAGGAGGATCGGGTGATTATTGATCGCTATCAGCACATTGGCTGCGAGGCTGGTAGTGTAATATTCTTTGACTGGCGCCTCCCACACGCCAACAGCTACAAACATGTCGGTACCATTCCACGCGAGGTCATCTACACAGGTTTCATCCCAGACATCCCAATGAACCGCTCGTATGCTCAAGAACAGCTTCGTCGGTACAAATCTCGCTTACTTCCAGCTGATCACTGGCAAAAAGACGACGTGGATGCTCGAGTCACCGAGGATTTCTCCTCTCACCACTTCACAGCTTTAGGTTCTCGCCTCATTGGACTTCATCCATGGTAAGTATGTCAATTTTGGAATGCGTTTGTCGTCACTTATGGTTTTATAATAGTTGAATTATAATCATGAAGAAAACCAGGTGGCAAAAGAGACAGTACAAGTACATTCTTTTATTAATAATATTATATAACGTAATTTGCCAGTTGAGTGCGTGATGCCAATTGCGTGCACGATGCAGAATTTCTGCCAGTTGTTAAGCTTAAAATCAAAAATGTGCAATTGGATTGGTTGATCTCATTTCAGTCACATCAGTGCACGCTTTTCCACAACCAACTGAATATAATCCACATTATTCCGACTCATCATTTAAAAAAAAGGGTATTCGATTCTGACCAACCGCAGCCCATTCATTCACAAGCCACGAATCCATGGGAGCAGACGACGAAGACGTGGAGTCTACAACGCTGCGCCGAGGGGGAACCTACACGCTTGAAGACCTCCTCATAGCTCTCAAAAGAGTTACTAAAGGGGAGAAATATGCTGTTGTATCGCGCATGACCAACATCCCGTTAAGAACGTTGTTCAAGAAGGAGAAAGAGCAGAGAGAAGGGAAGGATCTGACGGGTAGTCGTCGTGGGACCAAGCCGACGTTGTCTATGGAGCTAGAAGATGACCTGGTGGAATGGGTGTGTGCTATGCAGCGAGTTGGCTTACCTGTTGGGCCGTCTGCCATATTGGCCAAGGCTAACGAAGTTTACATTGCAACGCTGTCCATGCCAACTCGCTCGACAGAACCAGCGACGCCGCTTACGGCGGGCTGGTACCGACGTTTCTTAGGGAGGGACCCACAGCTGACACCTCGGGTCGCTCAGCAGATCGCCCGCGTCCGCAATAACGTTAAGGCAGGGACTGTGCTTGGCCTCTTCTACACTATGGCGCAGCTTGTTATCGAGCATAAGCTGGATAAGAGTCGCGTTTTCAACATGGACGAAACGGCGTTTATGCCGAAGGCATCTACGCGGAAGGTTGTGGCGTTGAAAGGGTCGTCCAATGTGTGGACACAAGAATCTAAGGCAAATTTTCACATGACCGTGGTAGCTGCTGTGAATGCGGCAGGCGACGCAGTACCTCCCTTGCTTATTTTGCCGGGGCAGAGGATTTATCGAGAGGAAATGGCTGCCATATCCATTGACAACACAAAACTGTGACTGGTGCACCCAAAGGTTTCAGTAATGCCGGTATATTTAAGCTCTGGATGAAGACGTTTGACTCGTATTTGACAAGCAACAACGTGAAGCGTCCCGTGGTGCTGGTCCTGGACAACAGTTCGACTCATGTCGAAATCGGTAAGTGCGTTTATATTTTGTTGGAATTATTTTAATTATTAACAAGGATATTGTAATAATCAATTTTGACGGGTTAATTTATTTCAGGTGAAGTTTCCGTTTGGTCACACAGAGGAATTGTGCTCGTCGGTCTCCCTCCAAATGCCACTCACCTCTATCAGCCCCTTGACGTGGCTGTTTTCAAGCCTTTCCAGAGCATGGTGAAATCTACTTTACAAGCCAAAATGCTGCACAGTTCGGACTGTACTATTGCAAAATCGGATGCCATCGAGATAGTTTGCCATGCGTATCGTAACGCGGTGATGGCAAGCCCTGAAAACGCTGTAAATGGCTTCAGAACCACAAAAATCTATCCACCATTCTTGCCTAGTATGCAGGCTCGTTTACGACTGTTTGCGAGCGGTGGAGCACGCGGAGACATTGGAAGGGCGGCATGGCTCAAGCGAAAGCGTGAAATTCGAGAAGATATACGTAGCAGCATATTACAGCTGCCACCAGCACCTCGCACTAAAGGCAAACGCTCACGACGCACCGTGGACTTTGTAGGACGTCTTATAACCAAGGAGATGCTGCTTCAGGGTAAGCTTTAGTCGATAGCCAGAACCGTGGACTGATAGCTTCAAATTCCATCCTCACTTTTGAAACTGATAGCTTCAAATTATATCCTCACTTTTGACTAGCCATTGCATTTCACATGTTCGTTTGTGAAAACGCAAAAATAAGTATTAGATGCGTTGGTTTTCCCTTTTTGATTTCCAAAGACCCAATTCTAAACAACAATTGGTGCCTTTTTCGCTAGATGCACCTTTTGAACATGCCCAAAATCAGGCACTCAACTGGCAAATTACGTTATTACTAGCCGAGCGCCGCCGCTACGCGGGGGTAGTTTAGGTTTAGTTATACTTGTTTTGGCCTTCCTGTCTCTGCTACTCTTCGGCGGGTTAAGTACATGTATTACAAAAAGCTAGGCCCCCCTATGCGCCTCGATATTTTTAAATTTATTAAGTTATCTGGGTCAGCATCATGTTTAGGTGATAAAAGATAATTAATAGAATGATCTTGAATCAAGATTCTTACTACAACCTCTTTATTATTGTTGGTGATCACTGTATCTTCATCTTCCACCCAAAACCACCTGCACTTCAAATAACATTTATACAAACGCTACACAATATGTTTAGCTTAGCGTCGTGCTCGATACCACGGGCCGTTTCTGAGCCATGAAACCTAGCTCACGTCAACGCAAAAGATAGTAAAGGCGTGCCAGCTTGCCCTACTTACCCGCTTGTATTGCCTGTTTAATCTTGTAAGTAGCTAAAGATTGATCACTTCTCATACCAAACTCAATGAAAAACAAAACAATATTCAAATTTGTACATTTTAATACATTTAGCGCTCATTTTGTGCTGATTCATAATGAGTCATTAGACACTCCAATCTGTGCCAGTTATGATTAAAGCATCTAGATAATGCGTCGCAAGATGCCTTGCTGTTGTTATTGTTGACGGCGGTGTTTTTATTTGATAGTTTAACAATGATTCCAGGATGGCTAAACGTCATTTAGGCTTGACGTTTATTACGTTTCTATATGAGTTAACTATCTACTTAGCCAACTACAATTAGCACCTCTCATGTTTTGTTGTTGTCTTGCCTCATTATAACTCGTACCCTACGCTCTTGTCGGGGCACGTCCTCCCGTTGAGTAGTATCGGACTTTGCTGTCTAAGCGACTCTTAAAAAACAGCAGTAACACATACGGTTTAATCTAAAACTATCTATCTTTATAGATCAAGTGACAGCTTTATTAGCACAGCGTTGTTCTTACGGCCAGCTTCTGTTGTACATGTACTACTATTTGCCAGCTTAATCGGTTACCTCACATTCAGATATGCTCTTAATATTTCTACAACAAAGCAGTTGTAGTTATTCTTTTAGTCATTGTTTCTTGCAGAAACCATAAAGAACATAATATTTTGTGTATTAATAGCATGGCCTCAAAACCACACGTGAACGCTAAGTGCCTTGCAGCATAGGAAGCGTCTTTAGGGGCTATTTCATTTGAGAATAAGTAGCTCTATCTGTTTAGCACTCAAATATTAAAGCAACATGCATCATTAAAAAAGTAAGGCCGTGTTCGGTTTGCAGGGGCAAATCCAGCATGTTTGAAAATAAGCTAGAGCTGTAGAACAGTCGTTTTGTTTAGTAAAAAAAAAAATAAGTGATCGTGTTCCATCAGAAAAAAGGCTGGATTTGAAGGCGCAAAGGAGGACGAATCAAAATTCAACCCAGAGCTGAATTTTGAAACCAGTCGTTTGGAGCTATCCTGCTGGATGTCATTTTTTGTGTTTCTTAGCGGAATAAAGCTGGTTGAGACATTCCAGCTCTTTAATAACAAT